CATATTTGTGTGTGGCAAAAGTATGTAAACTTCTAAGATTATCTTTGAAGGGGAAATTAGAGTCAAGTGTTTCAATCAATACAATGATTATCAGGTGTGAGTGTGGGAGGTCCTGTCTTATTTAAAGAACAGAATTCTGGGTATTCACTATCAAAGTCTGATCTTCACAACACAGATATGTGAAAGTGTGTCATGTCTCAAACAAGGGAAACTTCTGAGGACCTCCAAAAAACAGTTGTTGATACTCACCAGGCTAGAAAAGGTTATGAAATTATTTCCAAAGTGGACTCCACCAGTCCACTGTCAGGCAGATCATGTATAAATGGAGACAATTCAACACTATCGTTATCCTCCCCAGGAGTAATCAATCAACCAAGATTACACCAAAAGCAAGGGGTGTAATAGTCCAGGAGGTCTCAAAGAATCCCAGGGTAACGTCTAAGGAACTAAAGGTCTCTCTTGCATTGGCAAATGTCAGTGTTCATGAAACCACCATCAGGAGAACATTGAACAAGAATGGTGTGCATCGCAGGGTTGCAAGGAGAAAGCCACTACTCTCCAAAAAGAACATGACTACCTGTCTACAGTTTGCGAAAGACCACATGGATAAGCCAAAAGACTATTGGAAGAATATTCTGTGGACGGATAAGACCAAAATGGAACTTTTTGGCTTGAATGAAAACCATTATGTTTGGCAAAAGGCAAACACTGCGTTCTAGCATAAGAACCTTATCCCATCTGTGAAACGTGGTGCTGGCAGTATCATGGTTCGGGCCTGCTTTGCTGCCTCTGGACCAGGATGGCTTGTCATCATTGATGGAACTACAAATTCTGAATTGTACCAGCAAATTCTACAGGAAAATGTCGGAGTATCTGTCCATGAACTGAAGCTCAAGAGAAAATGGGTCATGCAGCAAGACAATGACCCAAAACACATAAGTTGTATGAATGGTTAAAGTAGAAGAATTTAATGCTTTGGGATGGCCAAGTCAAGTCCTGACCTTATTGCTATAGAAATGTTGTGGAAGGACCTGAAGCAGGCAGTTCACGTGAGGAAACCAGCATTCCTGAGTTGGAAGCTGCTCTGAAAGGAGGAATGGACTAAAATTCCTCCAAGCTGATGTGCAGAACTGATCAACAGATATCAGAAATGTTTAGTTGTAGTTACTGTATTGCTGCCCAAGGGGGGCACACCAGTTACTGAAAGCAAAGGTTCATATACTTTTGCACACACAAATATGTAGCTTTGGATCATTTTCCTCAATAAATAAATCAACAAGTATATTATTTTTTACTCATTTGTTTAATTGGGTTCTCTTTATCTAGTTTTAGGACTTGTGTGGAAACAGATCACACTTTAGGTCATATTTTGCAGAAATATTGAAAATTCAAAAGGGTTCACAAACTTTTAAGCCTATGTAAAATTCAATATTTAAATCTAATTAAGTGCTGATACAAGACTAATTAGAGTTGAAATATATAAAGCAAATGTGTCACTGCAAAATCCACTGCATCTCCAAATGTAAACACATGAATGCTTGGGCCTTTATTTGTGGGACTACCTTTCCTCAACTGTCTCACCCTGTCCCATTGGGTCTGGCAGGACAGGCATATTGAGGGTCCCATTGGTTATAGAATGTCATCTTTCTCGACCCAGAAAGTATGCCTTTTCTTTCACAGTGCCTGCCTTTGGAATACCATTCCCCCAAATTAGAGTGGCCCCAACTCTGCTGGCTTTTTGCAAACTCTTGCAAACCTGGACGTGTTGCTGGGCATGGTGTTCAGGCTGTTAGTTGGAACCTGTGAAGTTGATGACTTGTGGCAAACTGGTTTATCTTGACTGCTATTATATGCACTGATGTTTTATGTGGTTTGTATTTTGATTTTAAATGTTGTTAGCCACCTAGAGGCACTATGGTGAGATGGATGGCTATATAAATTGACTAAATAAATAAATAATCTGAAAATCACAATGGCTATTACTTACATCTCTGTAGCCATGAGGAATAGTCCCATATATTTCAGCAAAAGGAAGCACACACCCAGCTGGACAATATTTGCTAGGGGAAAAAAAGGCAGGTACTTTTATAATGCATAATCAGTGTATCATATGCTAAAATGTTTAACTTTCAATAAACTTGATTAAGCAAGTTTAGCGATTCAAACAAATCAAGTCTGGTGATTTAAGTACATTTTCAAGGAGGAAGACATATGTTGCTGAAAAATATACAATAATAAGCTATAGAAAATGCCATGCCTTGGCAAATAATTGGTCTGAAAATATTTTGAACACAACAATGGAATAAACCTTATTATTTAATGATACATGAATGAAGAGCTAAATAAAGATTATATACTGTAAATGAAATAAAGCAATTAATAAAAGTTAAATATTTATTTCTGGGGGGAATTATGTCTTGTAAAACTAATTAATACTAACATTCATTCTGAATATTGCAAAGAATTAGAGTTTATAAACTAATGCCTGAAAACCACTGCAAATGTATTGCTATGATTTAAGAGCTGTGCTATATTACATTAAAAATGGCAGTATAGCCCTCACTTTCTACTTTAAAAGCACTAAGAGCAGTTAATGGGTTAACAGTGCAATCCTATGAAAGTTTATTCTGAAGAAAATCAAGAGTTGGTTTACTTTCAGGTTAGTGGATATAGGACTGCAGCCAAAAACTATGTTTAAATTTCAGAGTTTAGCTATGAATTTTTGATTTTTTAAAATCATGATGAACCATAAGAATAAATCTTGACTTTAACAATAACAGACTTGCTTTTCTGAAGTACTACTTCTGAAACAAATATTATTTATTAGTGGGAAATAGCATGGAACAATTCATGCTAAATACATCAACAACATATGCACAGAAATGTCACACTGCATTCAATAAAATTATTTTCAGACAACTGTATATCATAGAACAGTAGTCAAAAGTTTGTTCACACATGAGCATTAACTGCTTTTTCTCCCTATGAAATCTTGTAGTTCAAACAGGAGAAAAAGTGGGTAGTTCACAAGTGATCTGATCTTAATTTATTGTCAAAATATGGAAAAAACCAAATTTACCTGAATTCTGGCTCAGAAAAGTGACTTGCAGTATCTAAACATGTTATTAAATCTAGGAAAAATTATAGTAAAAGAAACATTATGAACAAAACCAAATCTTTTAAAAGAATGAAATGTTTTAAGACCCTACGTTGAAAACTACTGAATCATTAATCATTTTCATGCATCCTACTAATTTTTGCTTACAACTGAATAAACTGTGTCCTTGGTGAAGTACTGCCATTCATTCTTAGTTATAATGTGCTACATGGGATGGATTAGGAATTAGACACAGGTTATTTCTATCAGCTGAAATCACTCTCTCTTGGTAGATTCCAATACAGATCTGCTAACAGAACCAAGAGATGTATCAGCAAAAAAGCCAAAAAGGGGAGCTGAAGATGTAGCACATAGGATAAGCTGAGTTATATCTCACCCAAACATCAGTCAAATTAAGGAGATGCCAAGAGTAGTTGATATGCCAGGTTGAGAGGAATCTGTAATAATTGCCAGCTCCCTAATTCAGTGGAAACTCCAAATAACTATTCCTATCCATGAAAGCTTTCAGGTTCAGGTTTCATGTTAGCACACATAACAAATGGCAGAGCTTATATCATGATGTCATGAAGCATCTTTCTTAACTGGTCACTGTGGTTCACCAGTAGCTGAAGTGAACTTCAGCCATTTGGCTGTTTAGATATGGAGCTTTAGATATGAAAACTAAAGGCAACTGTTAACCAATAAGTCAATGAGAAAATGCTGAGAGCTATGATATTATTGGGGTAGTTCAAGAGCAGGGGTGGGCTACCGTCAGTTCTTAGCTTAATCTCAAAAAATGTTGCAGGTTAGTTCAGACCTCAGGCAATAATTATTTGTCTGCAGCTAGAAAAAAGGAGAAAAATAGGAAAAGCTAACTGAAGAGCAGAAAAATATGCTATTTCCCACTGTGGCCTGCAGATTATCCTTAAGGAATGCCACCTTCAATCTTAACCCTCAAAAAAATGTGTTTCCCCATCCCTGCTGTAATAAAAACGCTTTGTACCTTAAGCCAGGGACTCTAGGACTATTCGTCCAGGAATGTGCATCATTGCTACAAAATAGGACAATTGTTTTAATCACTTTGAATTAATTTATTCTAGTCATATCTTTTTGTGTATTTTAAACTTATCTTTAAATCCTCTTGTCTAGATGTGATTTTGTAAATATCTTTGCTTAATTCATTATACATTATTTACCAGAATCTGGGTAACAGGGAAACAGGAATCAATTAGCTGTGGCAAGATTATATATTTATAACACAGAAATAGATGTGTGGTCTGCTAAAGTATTGCTAAATTAGATCCTAAAATATACCTGGTTTGTCGGTTGTTGAATACGAAGCAAGAAACCCATGTCCATAAAAATGAATGTCACTCATGAATTGTACTGTAATTTCATTACTCTTTGATTCATTTAATTTGTCCACCTGAAGGCCCAAACCACAGTATTTCCCTGAAGTAGATAAAATATATAAATTTAGCACATAAGTAAATTTAGTAGAGAACCTCTGACCATTTATTAGATCTATGTGTTTACTACATACTTAATATATCTGCTGCACAAGTTTAACAATAATGAAATACAAAATGAACAGGATATTTCCCTTTCCTCTCAAGACAGATTTTTCAGAGTATCTTAGAAATTCAGAGGTACCAAATACCTAGAGATGTGTAGTTTCATCAACATTTCTAAACCTCTTGAATTTTTACCCAGTATCAAACCAATTATGACTCAAAAACTTTACAAATGAATTGTTTTGTCTTTCCAAGAACTGATCTCCTACCCTGGGAACACTTTCCAAGATAGGGAGAGAAATAGACTGATTTTCCTAAATGTAAATATTTTGGTATCATTAAGTAATGAGGATACTATGAATTTATTCCAAAGAATGTGTCATAGTCAAACTTCCTATAACAGGAAATGAAACAAAATACTTCCAGTGTCAGTAGAGTTCTCCTGAAGATTCAGAGTTATCTTCAAGAATCAGTTCTACTTTTGACTCTCCTGAAATTCTTAAATCATAATATATGCTAAAGATGTACACCATCTGCCAATCTAGCAAGTTACTACCAATGAATTTTATTTCAAAACTTCTTCAAAAAACAAGTGCTGCCAATTTAAATGTGACCTTATATTTCTAAACAACATAACAAAAGCATGTAAAATATGGCTTCTGAAATTCTTCCTAACTCATTTAATTAGTAGTAGTCATATATTTGTATGTCCACTGGGTCATGTGACCAGGATGGAAGATAGTTAGAATGTAACATTTGCCAACTTTCCAAGATGGTGCCCATCTGCCTCTCCCACACAGATGTAGTGTGGAAGTTTGTTTCCAGTTTCTTTTTTCTTTTTTACATCCACCATCTGATCTGGCTGATTTTCACACTTGATCACTTTTTTGCTTAGGTTTCTCCCCATCTGCCAAATCTAGTCTCATTCTATTCAGTTATGGGACAGTTATCATATTGATGGACATGCAGATGGATAAATCCTATGCTATCTTATATAATTTTTCCAACATTCCACTGAGTTGAAAAGACTAAAAACTCATTTTTAGCAAAGCAATATAAATACTACTCAATCTCTTACTTAGTCATACTAGGTAAAATAAGCTGAGACATAAACAGAGAATTATTTAGGCCAAGGAACTCAACTTGTAAATCAGGGTTGAAAGATTTTTGCCATTTAAAGAGCTCAAGTTTGCCTTTTGCCTTAGAGAAAATCTCTTCTCATATAACACTGAAGAGTCATAAGCTTGCTAAAAAGTATTTTTATGACAGATACTTTATACTATGTGATGAATCAAAATAGTGCTCCATTCAATACATACGTCTTTTTAAATGATTTTTTATTGAACTAAACCATCAATACAACTATTAAAAGTACAGAATGTATAAATGAAAATAAAATAAAATAAAATAAAACAAGCAAAAAGGAAATAAACTGAAGGTAATATGTAATGTTCAGAACAAATATAAAGATGTTAAACATGCATTTGTACAAGGATGATTAGGAAAAAAGGCAATGTAACTAAGAAATGTTACAATAAGCTTATCCTTAAGTATGGGGCTGTTCAAAACCTGTTCATTCTTTGTGTTATTAAGTATTTAAAGCTCCTATTGATTGCATTAATGTTTTCCGTCCAGACAAAGGCAATGATATAGGCCCCCAAAGATAACGTTTTGCTTTGCTTATAACCAAATTATTCACAGAAATTGGGCAAAGAGAAAAACGACCAAGCAAATAATTAGAGTGTGTATTTTTTAAACTAAACAGATAAATCATACGAAATATTTTTCTACTCTTAAATTATATATAAAAAATATATATTGATACTAGAGAGAAAATATGTCCTTACCTATCTCTGTTCTTGTGGGTCCAATTCCATTATAAACCCTCACATAATTAAAATGACAAGAATCTGAATCATCAATATCAAAATCCCCAAATTTGAGCTGAACTCTCTGCTCAGGCTTTACTCGAATTTCCCATTCACACACTGTGCTATTGGGATAGGCATGTGGATAATTAATCGATGTAAATGTTCCACTTTCAGGACCTAAGACAGTATATCCACATCCATCACCTACAAAACAAAAATTCATCTGTAAGGTTACTTTCTCATGAACAGAAGAATGTATATCTGCACTTCAACGATTAGCTGCAAACTATACTTATTATAGTTTGTAAATATGTTATATCAATATTTCATAATTGTGGATTTATTTATGACCTTTATGGATCTAGTTGCATATCCTAAACCTAATCCTGAATATTTTTTTAATAATGTGAAATCTACAATGAGATAGTTCCTCTGACAGATTTTATATTTGCATACTAATTAAAGTAAAATTAATATTATAGCAACTTTTATGATCACAGCCCAACTTTTGAGGGCAGGTTTACAGAAGGCTCTTTTAGTAAAAATTGGAATCCCTTAGAGTCTTTAACTTTACACCAACCTCTCTTAAGCATGCCTTGAACAACAATGGCTTTCAGCTATCTCTATTACAATAATGGGATAGTTAATGGTTATACTGTATACCTAGTAATATGTCTGGAGAAAAAGAAGGAATTGAGAAAGGGGTAACTGCAATCTCTAAAATGTCCTTCACAATTTTAGAATCCCTTTTATATCTGAACTGTCCATGTGTTGAATAGAAAATCACAGTGAGGAAAATATGGTTCCATATCCATGAACAGTTCTTCTTAACCTCCTGTTATAATCCAGTTCCTCATAACAAAATGTGCATCACTGTAAGGAATCTGAACAAGTAGCTATGGAAAAGATAAATAGTACTGGGACTGATGTGAATAAGTAGGTTGTGCCTCTGCCACTGAGAAGAACCATATGTCAATTTCACACCAGGGGGAATTTTAAACTCTCATTCCCAAAGAATGTATAAAATACCATAGTCTAACATAGCACTGATTTTATTTTCATCAAAAACCTATTCAACGTTTTTAAAAATATTTTAATTTTCTGAAAAAGGAATACATATATTGTTTTACTAAGTCTGAGATAGCAACACTTCGTAAAGAATTTTACTGTTAATGCAAAACAGATGAGGGAACAACACAGACATCCTTCATTCATCCCACAGACTTTAAAACATTATTTGCAAACATATTTGAATAAAAAGGATACATAATTCTAATAGTACCTCAATTTCAAGCAAAACATTTTAATTTGAACAGTTTTGCATAAGATCTACATAATGTCTGAGTGTATAATGACAGACTTTGCTCTTACTGATCTTTTCAGTATAAACTCACTTTGTCACACAATATCATTTTCTGGCAATGCTAGTTAAAGCTCTGGAAATTTCATATATATCCCTATAAGGCATAGTGGGATATACATACCGTCCATATCAATTCAACATACATAAATCAATTGTGGGCCTCTCCTGCTTCGTTCACTAAGTTCCACCATCTTCAGCCAGTACAAGCAGCGGTAAGGGATAATAGGAGTTACAGTTCAGAAAAAAAAAGATTGCCAAAAGTTTCTACCCTTACTTTACATGATACCCTACATATTGTATTACATACTATTGAAGATTTAGAACAGAGAGGAAAGATTCAATATCCAACAGAATAATGTATTTGTCTATAAAACTAACCAAGACCTTGAGAAGGAAAAATAGATCTGAAGTCAGGAGGTGGTATTGCTTGGCAGCTTTATTGCCCTAACACACTCAGTGCACTGTTAATCTGCCCACTCTTGCAACCTACCTCAGGGAAGATTATGAATCAGACTACAAGTAGACAAATATATCAGTTGAGAATAATAAGATGTTCAGTGAACATTGAAATAAGCCCTTCCTAAAGCTTTACCCTTGCTCATTTCTTTTGATGTTATCATTCTAATGTTCCATTATTTTTTCTTAAGACAAAAAGGATCTGTTTTTTTAACCTGAAAAATGGGGAGGAGGAGGGAAAAAAACACACCTTTTATGTGAGTATTAAAAATTTGAAATACAGAAATAATCAATATATTTCACAAAAATAATTGTATTATTAACTCTCTCTCCCCCCCCACACACACAATGACAGATGTAATATAAGCATGCTAGTTAATATTTTTAATACTAAGTACCTCAGTATGTCCTTCCATAGTAAAATATATTTTACCTCAGAATTATCAAATTTAGTTTTGCTTTTGAAATTTAGAGAGCCTGACCTAGCTACTAAATGAATCACTAATTCGTTTAAGTGTTAATATGTTTTGGAAGTAACCTAAATATATTTGTATACAGTATATTGGAAGATATAAAGAAGAATGGCAGTTAAGTATGTTTATACTCAGTTCGGTTTGTGCATACAAAAGGCACAAAACGTACTCTTAATCCACCTTTCTCCTGAAAGAATTTCATCCATCACTGATGACAGTTCAGAAACTGAGTTCACTTCTGCCTGGCACCACTTCCACTCCCAATCTTTGGAAAAATTTTAAGCCAGATCCCAGTCTTTGTAACATGAACAGGGCTCACTGGAGTCAATCAGTAGAGTGCAAACCATAGTCAGTGCCTGCACCCTATGCTAGACCAACTCCTGGAGTAACAAAAATCCCCTCACTACCTTTCACAGAAATGTGAAGACATAAATTGCTTCACCACTCCCCCATCCTATGCTTTTAATAAAAAAAAACATTGGAATGTGCTTGGCCATTTTACCAAAAACAAACAATGTCTGAGCTGTTAGCATGACGGAAAGGTTACCTGACCATCAAAGCATCAGTCTTCCTGCCTACAAATACCCACTGAAAGCTGATGATAGCATGACACTACAGGTTTGCAGCCAAGTGTTTTTGCCAACAGCTGTATCCATGTTGGAAGCTGCAGTGTAGAGCCTCCATGTATTTGGGGAAGTAGGGAGGAAGAGTAATGGCTAACTTCAGCCCTTTTTTTCTCTTATTTAATCTTAACTTTTAGTTTTAGTTTTTAGGCTTAGTGTTAAGAGAGTGCATTTCTATTCTATTCTATTCTATTCTATTCTATTCTATTCTATTCTATTCTACTCTACTCTCTTTTAATAGTGAGTTTCAGAACTGCTGTAAAACTTGACTAGAAACTATCCGGAAATGGCCTGTGAACTCTACTAAAGTTTAAGTTAAGGGAGGCAGAATGAGGCAAGAGCTCCTGCAAACAGGAAAACAGTCTTACCCAAGTCCTCCAGAGCTCCAACACTGCAAATCACAACACAGAAGTTATCTGAACAATACAGCCACTACCCCAGAGTGCTTAGTATCTGAAGATCAGGTGATACAACATTAATACCAGTTCAGTCTAAGTGCCAAATGTGGATAAGCCTAACCTGATTTTATCGAAGTATTTATCTGCCACATCAACTGGCGTGGAGCCTAAAATATCCAAATACAAGGAATGCTATTGGGTATCTTGAAGGATAGTTTGATTGGTCAAGCCACATCTATTTTTTTTTTTAATGATTCTGATTGGAAACTAGTGTGAGGGGGAAAAGAGCAATAAATAAAATAAATAAATAAAATTACAGAGCAATAAATAAAATA